TTATTTTAAACATGGTTATAATAAAGTAAGTGTGTGTGGGGAAGGGTGGGGGGACCCGTCACAGAAAAGGCTCTAAATCAGCCTTGGAGATTACCAGTGGCCGAATCCTAGAATCAATACATCAATACAAATTCCAGGGCAGGTCAATTCTTTACAGCCGCGTGCAAAGTGATGTGCCTGCCCTAAAACCAGCATTGTTGCGGGAGTCAGGCAGTGTTAACCTCCACTACCTGTTAGAAGCGCCAGCTGTCACAGCTAATATAGATTTGTTCTAGGTCAACCTATTTTGTCATTATGCTTTACATGATGAGCTTTCATCGGACTGCATCATCCACCAATAGACTGATTTATAAGTCTTCCACTCAGTGTACGGCCTGGCATATGGTGCCACTAGATTAAGCTGAGGAGCATAGGAAATTTCAATGTTTTTCAGCACCACCTAGTGGCAGTAGCGCCTTGCTGTGTCAAGGGCATTTGCCCAGCTATACACTGGGTGGAAGATTTATAACTCAGTCCCAAAGTGTTCAGAAATTATGATAACCCCTCCCTGTAACTCCCAACAACCCTAGACCAACTGAAGTTGAATTTACCCCATAGTAAATTAAGGTAGCAAGGCTGGGCAAAGAAAAATAGCCTACACAAATTGTGAAACACTGTATCCTAGTGCTGCCTGCTCTTTTTCTGCTGCTCTGGTCACAGGACCACTATATGGTAAATGCTCAACACAGATTAAATGTGGTCTGACATTTCATCAATTCCAGTTCATGCCAAATCCCACTCCCTTACCATGTAATCCTGCCCCCTTGTAATAGCATTGTCACAGCTAGTGTAGAAAGCTGCATTAGGAGAAAGGTTATGAACTAGCCAAGTGGGAGCACAGCCAATATATCACCCAGTTTGTTTCTGTTCGCATTAAATATATCAAGTTGAATGATAGTACCGAATAAATAAAGAAATATTGGATACTCTCCCGTTGCACAGGATCCAAATTTTTCCCTAACCTGCTCAGCTATGATATAAAAGGGAACATAGTCTTCTTTTAAGCATGGAGACCACATTAAAAAGAATCGCCATGCATAAAATGGACACCTACATGAAAGAGTTGGCTGGGGTCTCGGCCAGTCGTAGCCTCTTGGCATGATTCTTTCCCTGGTAATGTGCTTGAGCCACCACAGGAGAGCTGAATGAAGCATCACACAGTTTGCAGTAGTCATTCTCAGTGGCAAGGATCACACGACCCACACAGTTTGCTGCCGTAACCTAAAAATCAAGACAGGTAGGATTTTTTTAGAATGGATACTCTTATCAAAAGAATCAGTAAGAATGAAATAAAAAGGTACTCCAGAAAATCTGACTGAAATTGTTACAAAAAGACGCCTAAAAAAATTGGGCCATAACTGTGACTTCCGTATTCTTAATAAAGAACTATTGTTCTCATTAAACTTAACTAAAGGTAATCTGTCTTAAGGGAACATGTAACCTGTCATTGCTGACCTCCCCTTCTAAATGTGTCAGTTGTCTGGATCGAATGGTGATACATTGATATCTAGAACAAGCCATGCAGAGGAGTTCTGATTTTGCCTGCTGCACACTAGTTCCAGACCAGTCACTCACAGTATTGAAGCAAGCTAGGAACCTAGCATGTCAAGACGATTTAAGCAATGGTAGCCTTCAGAATTAAAAGTATCATTAGTAGAAAGATTTTTTCATCAAAAGAACACATGGGCGCCCTCTTGTGGGTCTCTAATTCAGCATACATTTTTTTGCAAGAAAATTATATTTATATATACACACATTTTTATATATCTATACATAGA